CCCCAAATATGTGTTTGAAAACGGATGGATGGTAGTACATTGTTTTAAAAAACATGCTAATACTAGGGATGCTCCAATCATGTGATCGATAATCAGGTCCGATCATGTGATTTTAAAAGGATTGGGATTGGCAGAAAAAAATCGGATTTAACCTTTTAAAACAACAAACATGACTTTTTTTTAATTCATTCTAAAATAGAGATTACCAAATGGACTAACAACGGCTTAGACTTTATTTCAACCAATTCCTCTACATCAGTATTATTTGTTGTTTTTTTAGGAAAACAAGTTACAACACGGTAACGTCACACAATTTACAGCTGGCAGGAATTCAGACACCAAACTTCAGCTGTTTGCAAGCAAGCTAATGCTGAGCTAGCGTGTCTCCTCAGGATGTTTGCAGTTTGGTGGTATTTGAGCAGAAAAGGCAGAGCAACAGCCACTTGTAATCAGTGTTGCCACAGTTACTTTGAAATAGTAGTTTGATTACTGACTATTGATTACTCCATTCAAAGTAACAAAGTCACTTTATGGATTACTGCATGTCAAAAGAAACTAAGTTAGATTACAAGTTACTTTCAACAACTGTAATCATTGCCTCAACATTAAAATCAGCAATCAGTTTCGTGATACTGATGCAATGTGTTTTGAAGAATGCTAACAGTTAGCATCAAATGTGAGCAAACACACTGAGAGCCAAGGTTAATGTTAAACACACGGATGAACGGTTGAACGGCAGCAAAATCCCATTTCTCAGAGAGGAACCGCTACTGGCGGTGAAAAATTAACACCAACCAAAAATAGCACCATCAGAACACTGAACAGAAAACAAACAACAGCCAACACACACCTAGCAATACCCCCCCCCCCCCCCCCAAAAAAAAACACCCGAAAACACAGCAGCATTATCTGTAAAAGCTGGTGTTGAACCTGCAACCTTCTGATTACTGGACAGCCCACTCTACCTCTGAGCTGCTGCTGACCCCACAAAAGCTAGCCTACCATCCAAGGCGGGGCGACAATGGCACAGGAGTTAAGTGCTCGCCCCGTAATCAGAAGGTTGCAGGTCATTCTGTCGTTGTCGTTGTGTCCTTGGGCAAGACACTTAACACACACACACACACCCGCCTGCTGGTGGTGGTCGGAGGGACCGGTGGAGCCACTGCTCGGCAGCCTCGCCTCTGTCAGTGCGCCCCAAGGCAGCTGTGGCTACATCATAACTCATCCCCACCCGTGTGTGAATGTGTGTGTGAATGGGTGAATGACTGATTGTGTTGTAAAGTGCCTTGGGGGGTTACGGGACTCTAGAAGGTGCTATATCAAATACAGGCCATTTACCATTTACCATTTTTGCCTGCTCCATCACGGGATTGTGCATTGATCAATATAGCTGCATACTGAGGGAGTAAACAACTTGAAACAACTACTACTTTTAAATATATTTATAATATAAACACATTTTTAATCAGTGTACTTACTAAATAAGTGAAAGTGAAACTTAAAGGACAACTTCAATGTGTTTTCTTCTTAATTTTATGCTTTCCTGAAAAGTATCGTATAGGGACGATACGATACTTGAAAGTCAACGGGGCTAAAAGAGCTATTTACTAATCCGCTTTGCCTTACGCCCTGGATCGCACATATGTTGTACTACAACTTAAATGAATTATAATGATGGGTGTTTGGACCACGCCAGTCACGTACTTTGAGATTTATCAGCTTGTAAAAGTTTGTAAATAGCATGACTACGAATTAGATATCGGCACGTCGCATGGTGACGTCGCCACATCTCTTCTCCTCTCTTCTCCTCTAGCGTAGCTGTTACTTACCACATGGCCAGATTTATGGTGGTTCTTTCCTCCCAAAGTAAGGATTTTAAGTTTGCTGAACTTACAGCCGTTTTCCCTTTCTGGTTCGATTGCATCACTCTCGAGAAGCGCACTTGTAGTCCTGGATTATCTTGGCACAAAACCTAAAATAGCATTTTCCCCCTGTTCGAAAATAAGCACGTTCTTGGTATCGAAATGCGTATTTAAAATTCACGGACATCATATGTGAAATTCATGGCACATAACAAGCGGAATTAGAAAATAGCGTTTTTAGCCCTGTTGACTTGCAAAGCTGCCCTCCCGGTGGAGGGTAACTCTGAAGTACCTTTTTTCCCTCCACCTGAACCAATCCTCATGTAACCCTCTGATCTCTATTAAGGTAGCGTGACTCAGGGTTGCGAATGACCACAGTCACCAATTCTTGTCATGTGTCTTGCCCATTTATGTCTGATCTCTGAATTGTGTGTACTGAAACTCTAATTTCCCTCTGGGATTAATAAAGTATCTGAATTTGAATTGAATTGAATTCATTGTTTCATTCTTCTGGGGACCCGTGGTCTGGAAGTAGATAGGTGTGACTTGGGCTCCCTATAGAAGGATGCACGTTTCCCGTGATGTGGGAGGCACGTGGCACTATGGCCAGCAGGCTAACTTTTATCTGCACAACACCTGTAGATACCAGCGGTCGGGCAAGTTCAGCTAGGGAACTGCAGGGTGAAAAACCACAACCTTTTGCTGTCCGTCGACAATTTCTCTGTGTTTATTAATGCACTTTTCACTGTTGGCTAGCTTCGTGTTTTTGTTAGAGATGCTGCTGTGAACTGGGACTCAATGCAGACCGATGATTCCCTGTGGCGACGCCTAAAGGGAAGAAATCCAAAGAAGAAAGTAGTTTGTTTTGAAGGCCGCTTACCATGCAGTGGTCTTTTCCAGCATGTTGAATGCCCAGAGTACACACATTACAAATGATCCAGTTTAAGATTTCACCAAACATTTACATCTTAGCTCTCCTGTTTAGACGCGTTAGCTCTGTGTTAGCCTGCTAGCTAACTATGGTGTCTGAATCCTTGCCTGCCGTAAATTGTGTGACGTAATGATGTTGTTTTCTTCCAAGAAACAAAGAATACTGATGTAGAGGAACTTGTTGAGATAAAACTAAGATGTTGTTTCGTTTGAACATCTCTACCTTAGGATGAATGTAAAAAGCCGTATTTGTTGTTTTAAAAGGTTAAGCCACGTGATCAGGCTCCAATTTCCGATCCCATTAAGGATCTGAGAAAAAAGCATAAAAACTTCTTCATTTTTTCAAAGATCGGGAGATTTTTCTGACTAATTAAAACTCTTATTTTACTTTAATTTTCTCGAACACGAAGCCCATGTCTCACAAACAGCTGATATGGTTTCGTTTAAACTCACGACATGACAACAGGAACAGGGCTGTGGTTTTCTAATCTCGTCATCACAGCAAAGCCACCAACTTCTCTCTGAAATGATGACTTCCTCCGTTTCACTGCTTCCTCTCAAACATCCACTCGCCTCTGCCTTCAAACATGAAAGTTAACAAACTTGACTTTGTCTGCAGCTTTTGGAGAGTAAAACATAAATTCTTTAGTATTTAGTCTTCTTTCTCGGACATTTTATGAACTCTGAGGCAGAGCGTCTATAAGAACTTGAAACAATTAAAGCTGCGGTTTTAGAGGAAAGAAGCTGGGAGAGTCTTTAATTCAACAATCATGAACGGGTTAAACCATTTCCTCAGAGAGGGGGGATTCCCAGCCCCCCAAGCTGAATGTGGTCGTACTACTGACTCCATCTTTCCTTCCTTTCACGCTGTTTTATGGCAGCAGAAGACATGATGTTTGGCATGTTTTAGTCCTTACCCAAACTTTTAATGGGAGAAAACAATGAATTCAATAAAACTAATCCCCAAACTCAATAAATGAACTTAATTTACATGTGTTTTTCTATCCCTACAGCTGTTGTTGATGCACACAGCTGAAGCCCCTCACTCAGTCACACTCTGGAAGCTCAGCCAATCACCAAGTGTTAAAGCGGCAATAGCAAATCTCCTAAACAAGTCAGCTTTTGAACACAAATAGGGTCACAGAACTATCAACCCTCCTCAGTCGGCTACCATCCCTGGGCCACGTCCGCCTGATACCGGAACCCGCATTGCAGAGTAAACGAGAGAGCGCAAAATACCCCCGGGGTGAGCACCTGGGACTGGGCCCTAAAAACTAAGATTAGTCAACTAAATTATTTTTTCTTTTTTTTTTGCCTAAATCAGGTCAAATTTAGACTTTAAAATCAGTTAACACGACACTGTGGTTGGAACGCCCTTTTTAAACGCAGTTTAAGGCCAAAAGGGCCATGGGTTTTGTTGAAAATGAGCCGACATTGCGATACACCAACCAGTGTTTCACGATTTTCCTGCAATGTCAAAATAAGGAAACAATCTCCAGATAATAAGACTCCTGCATCTTGTTCATTTTTCAATCCTAACACGGCATAAGTTATATTTCAATGTAAAAACTTTACAGCTCCAGATGAATCCCTGGTAGCATCCTTCATTCTCATCTCCATCAACTAACAGCAGAATCAGGATGCTGCTTTCTGATGGCCGTAGAGGAGAGAAATCTGAGCTGCAGGAGCACCAGGGCTCCGTCAGTGGCCTGTGGTGTGTGAGCACGGATGAACAGGCCTATCCCCATTAATGCAGCACAGAGACACTCCTGCAAAAGGCCTGCTGGGCAATGGAGTGCACAAATGCGCAATGAAACACCGCCCACCCAATGGCGCACATGTCGGTCAGCATGGTAAAGCATCACGGATGGGGCTGGCCTGATGGAAGTAATGTGTGACCTGGGTGTGGATGCAGGGAGGAGGGAGGACTGGAGGGCCAGCATCACCATCACAAATTATGTTAGCTTTGATAAATAAATATTATAAAGGATGGATGAGAAACATCAGCGAGGATGTGAGAGGGATAATCCAGGCCGGACCACACCGGTACCGAGAGGATTAATAGACCATTTCCTTAGATCGTGAGGGGAGGAAGAACCTCATAACTGCATGTTTGTTCCTCCGTTTCCGCCTGTTTCATCACGCACGCACACGCACGCACACACACACACACACACACACACAGAGAGATAAAGGCTTAAACCTAACCTTGTAGACTTGTCCATATGTGCCATTCCCGACTACCTCCACCAGCTCAAAAATCCCAGCAGGATCCTGGATTGGAAACACACATCAGAAAAAACAGGCCTGATTAATTGATTCCTTTCTAATTGCAGCTGGGGTTCGTTTGTTGTGTGAACCGCCAGCGCCCGGTTCGCCTCTAGTGCTAGCGGATATTAGACAAAGAGCTGCTGCTGCGGGGTTGTGTCATTACTACAACGCCGTAATAAAAGCATTTCTGTGTAGAAAGTCCGAACATGTCCATGGAAGAGCCGCTCACCCTCAGGGATGCCAGGTCTATGTCCACCAGACTTTTAGCCGGAGAGTCGTTCGCCATTTTCCGTCCAAGCGATGATAAATCAGCAGAAATCGATGTTTGAGTATCCGTCAGGCGGACGGCATCAGGTTCATCCTCGTCAGGTTTTAAATAAAACCCTGATGCTGTTATTTTGATGCGTTTCCTCCTCTTTCTGGTCCAAGACAGGAGCTCCTCCTGCTACATACCGACCGTGGAAGCCTGCGATACCGACTGCCTGCCGGGCTCGAGTCCTGCCCGTGCAACCCTCCCTGTGTGTGTGTGTGTGTGTGTGTGTGTGTGTGTGTGTGTGTGTGTGTGTGTGTGTGTGTGTGTGTGTGTGTGTGTGTGTGTGTGTGTGTGTGTGTGTGTGTGTCACTACTTTCCGCCCTCTCTCCCCCCCTTCAGTCCACATGTCTCTGTCCTTATTCACGCCTGGACATGGACAATACGGACAATGATTGTAATGACTTTGTCTGTCCCTCTGACCCACCAACACATCTATTATCCCAGGGTGGTAAAGGTGTGGCGCGAGCTTTTTTGTTGCTCTTAAAGGGATATTCCACCCAAAATTTAAATTCTATCTGGTGACATATGTCTAAGAGTTAGACAAGTGGGGAAAAAATAATTGTTTTCTAGCCCAGTCGTTTTCCTGGCCTGGCTGTAATCCTTTCTGTTTAGCTTAGCATAAAACGCAGTTGGTGAATGGATCCAACTAACGTGAGTAAAAACGTCCCTAAAGGGGACACGCATCTTTTATATGGCAGGGGTGAACATACTTTTTAAGACGAGGCCCACAATCCTCAGGGCTTATAGTCCTAACGGGCCACGAAATTGTATTTGTTTTATTTAATTTTTTATTTTTAAATGCAAAAATATATTTTATGGTGATATATTTTGTCACTCACAGAAATAAGTTCAATTGGTATATTAAGAGTATGAAAATAAAACCTTAGAAAGTATCACAAACAGCCTCCTGGACAAAATTCATTACTATAGAAAAGCAATTGGGGGGTTACAAAGTCAATTGTGTCCATCAGAGCCATACTTCAGACCTACCTAGTCTATGGTGTATAAAACACGTTCATAGGCTAGTCCTTTACAAAAATTATCTTGCATATAAATAATATATCTCCCCAGATCTGATCTTGACCATTTCAGTTTGCAGCGCCAAATCACGACAAGAGTCGTCTCAAGGCATTTCACATAGTAAACATTCCAATACAGGTCAGTTCATTAAGCCAATTAGTAAAAAGTTTCCTAGATAAGGAACCCAATTGCATCAAGTCACTGACTAGTGTCAGTGACTTTACAGCAATCCTCATACAAAGCAAGCATTTAGCCACAGTGGAGAGGAAAACTCTCTTTTAACAGGAAGAAACCTCCAGAGGATCCTGGCTCAGCATAAGCAGCCATCCGCCATGACTCACTGGGGATCAAGAAGACAGGGCAGACACGCGCGCACACACACACACACACACACACACACACACACACACACACACACACACACACACACACACACACACACACACACACACACACACACACACACACACACACACACACACACACACACACACACACACACACACACACACACACACACACCATATATACCAAGTAATGTTTCTATGGTACATTGTGATTTATTAGTAAAAATTCTATTTGGTGAGAGTATAAACTTTATTGTATTTATCCTAGTGAATCTATAATTAAACGTGTGAACTAGTAGTATGTCAAAGAAAGTAAAATGTTATTATCAGGAGAGGGAGAATGTTTAAGTGGTTAGAAACAGTGTTCAAGCTGATGGCCCTCTCCATGTGGCTACCACAGCTCAGCAGAACATCATTGTAGCTTCTTCTGGGGGAAAAATAATTGGGGGGAAAATTAAGTTAACAACTGAAATAGCAGGAAATACTACAGTTAAAGAGCAAATTAGAAAGTAGTCGAGTGTGAAAAGTGGTCAGTGTGTCCTCCAGCAGTCTAAGCCTATAGCAGCATAACTACAGAGATAACTCAGGATAATCTATCCTATTTAGATGGAGGCAGGGCAAGGGAGAGCCGTCTTTTCCGACTGTACACTCCACCTGCCTCTACTCCCCCACTTGTCCAGATCTGGGCTAACATCAGATTTTAACCATAGACCCTATCAAATGAAAATGTTTTAAGCCTAGTCTTAAAAGTAGACAAAGTGTCTGCCTCACGGACTAAAGATGGGAGTTGGTTCCACAAGAGAGGAGCCTGATAGGTAAAAGATCTGCCTCCCATCCTAATTTTAGGTATTCTGGGAACCACCAGTAAACCTGCAGTCTGAGAGCGAAGTGCTCGGTTAGGAACATATGGAACAATCAGATCACTGATGTATGATGGAGCTTGATTATTAAGAGCTTTATATGTGGGAAGGAGGATCTTAAAATCAATTCTGAATTTAACAGGTAGCCAATGTAGGGAAGCTAAGACAGGAGAGATATGATCTCTCTTTGTAATTGTCATCAGAACTCTAGCTGCAGCATTTTGGACAAGCTGAAGACTTTTAACTACATTCTGTGGACTTCCTGAGAGTAATGAATTACAGTAATCCAGTCTTGATGTAATAAATGCATTAACTAGTTTTTCAGCATCACTCCTGGAAAGGATGCTTCTAATCTTAGCAATATTCCGAAGGTGGAAAAAGGAAATCCTACAAACCTGTTTAACCTGGGATTTGAATGGCATGTCCTGGTCAAAGATAACACCAAGGTTTCTTACTTTGTTCTTGGAGATTAATGTAATGCCATTCAGGTCAGGCGATTGGCTAAGCAATTTCCTTTTCTGGATTTCTGGTCCAAAGATGAGAACTTCCGTCTTGTCTTGATTTAAAAGCAAAAAGTTTGGAGTCATCCAATTTTTTATGTCCTCAAGACAAGCCTGTAATCTATCCAACTGATTAGGTTAATCAGGGTTAATGGATAAATATAACTGAGTATCGTCAGCATAACAGTGGAAGTTTATCCCATGCTGTCTAATGATTTTACCAATTGGGAGCATATACATAGTAAAAAGAATTGGTCCAAGCACTGAACCCTGTGGTACTCCACAGGAGTATGAAGAAGATTTGTCATGTACATTTACAAAATGAAATCTATCAGACAGGTAGGGTTTAAAACCAGCCTAGCGCTGTTCTTTTGATGCAAATAAGCAGTTGCTGGCCACACCCATCCACCTCCTGTTTGGCTGCTATAAAGATATCAGATATCCAAGATTGACTTGGAGTAGGGCAACTGCTCCTCCAGCATTAGCAGAAGACCCACTAAACATTGACAGGTGGTGGGGGTTTCGATGCTAATCTCCCTGTTTGTGATGTCACAATAAGGGACATTTTTCAATGGCTCATAGAAGCCATTCCCAAAGAATACCTGAAACCAAACAGTGAAAGAAAATTAATGGATGGATTTTATTCATGTTTGGAGTGTTTATTTACTATAGAACACGTGTCAGGCATAAGGCCCGTGGAGCATTTTTATGTGGCCCGTGAGATAAATATCAAAAATGTATTAAAACTGACCTGCTGGCCAATTTTACCGCAACAACTACAACTCCCTTTGCGGCATTAACGCTGAGCCAAAGCGCCCCCTCCTTTTTGTGTTCACAACTGAAATAGAAAGTTTTCCATCTAACCAGACAGAGCTGATATAACTCCAGCGAGCAGTGACACGCTCAAATCTGCATGAGTCTGTGGCTGCTGTCGTTGTTATTTTTCCTCCCCGACACAAAACGATGTGGTCAAGCTGCTCAGCCATGTTCAGCAGCACAAACCTATGTGAGCACCTGTTGTCATCTAATGTCGTCATTATTATGATGAAGATAAACAAAACAACAGGAGTCTCCTCCTCAGCTCAGATCAACCCCATGATGCAGGTATCTGGCTGGAACAGGTAAGCGTCACAGTAAACCAGTGGAGCAAACTGAGCTTTAAATATTTAGGGTTTATGCTCTTTTTCCAAAACATGAAACTTAACAGGTGAGATGTTGCATTTTCATTAAAGATAAAATTATATCTTTATTTTGTTGTTGGCCCGTGAGAAAAGATTTAACCTACAGTAAACAGGAAGTGGAAAGGCTGCAGATAGATGAATAGAATAGAAAATCCCTTTATTGTTCCTCAGTGGGGAAAGCTAGACATCACAGCAGCGATGACACTTATTACAGGAGAGAAACAGGAGAATAAAAAATAATAAAAATGAACAAACAACAAGAAAACATAAATCCCGAATAGATTTTAAAAATGCTGAATATTCCACAAGTAATGAATACCACTGATGCCTTTTATTTAAAATTGACTTGCTCGTGTGTAATTTGGTTATTCCACATTCAGTGTTAATGCAAAAATAAGTTTGTTTCCTAATTAAAGGTTAAAAATTGCATAAATGTTGATAAAGAAAATGTGCAAATTTGCCGTCACTTTTTCAAAAAATATTAAGTTTGGCCCTCGAGTCCGCCCCAGATTTTCATTTCGGCCGCGTGTGAGTTTGAGGTTGACACCTCTGCTATAAGAAAAAGAAGAAAATGTCATTTCTATAGCGCCTCTCAAGATAAAAATCACGAGGCGCTTAAAATACTTAGATATTATAATAGCTAAATTACTATAGAAAGTAAATACCCACATGGCAGCACAGGAAACAAAAAGTGAGTTTTGCATGTGGCCCTTTCCTTAAGGCTTATTCTTAACACCAACCCTCAAAACTGGATTTTTACTTTGAGCATACATTTTAAGATTTAAAACCTTTTAGGGCAAAGCATTTGCTCTCACCTAGTACACTTGTTCAATTGCTTGTAAACACACAACTACAGAGACAATCACATGGCAAGAGATCAATGCATTTAGAAAATTAGACAGTGAAGATGCAACTTGCTAAAGTTCAATCATAGCATCAGAATGAGAAAGTATTCAACAAAATCAACTACACAACAGAATGAGTATCTTGGACTCCTCCAGCTGTAGCGTAAATGGACTCTAAAACAAGTCAAACCTATTCCTGATGAGGGTTGGACTCTGCCAACAATTCCCTTTGTCACCCTCTTAAATCAGAACCTTTTAAAACAGATTTTGGGCACATGAGGATGATGAGGTCCTCTACTTCATGAGGCTATGACCTTTGACTCTTGTGGGGAGGTTAGCAGCTAAGTGTGAAGCGGCTAGAATGAGGATTAGCACCTCCTTATCCGAGTCCATTGCTTTCTATTGAAAAAAGGGTGGGTTTCCAACTTTGAGTTTGGGTAAAGGTCCTCGTGCATCTGGGAGAGAGTAGTGCCTTTGCTAATCCATGCTGAAATGAGACAGGTGGATTGATTTGAAAGGAGGTCCCCAAGTAAGCCCAGGATAAGCTGGAGACTGTTCCTCCAGACTGGCTTGGGAGCCCTTGGATCGCACTGCTGAAGCTGGTTTGAGCCTCTCTGCTGGAGGCAGTCTCGCCATCCAGACTAAAACAAAAGGGAATAAAAATATTATTGTATTTCACAGCACACACTTTGAGATAAGAATAATGTACAGGTGTATAAATATTTGCATTATACCCCAGCATCCGTTCATGGTAATTATTATCCTCCTAGGGAACATGACATTTTATTTTTTCTGCCACCAAGCATCACTCTACCTCCATCAGCAAGGTGAATGGGTTTGGCTCCTTCTTCTGCTGTTGATTAGTCTGTGTGCTGCTGCCATCTAGTGACTGGAGGCTGGGTTTTGCATTCATACATGAACAATGTTGCAGGGGAAGAAAACCTGACAATCACTGCTCTAAATTGAATGCAGCTCTCAATAACTGTCATGACTCCCAGGCTGCCACCCTCCTCTGCCTCAGCTGCCTCCTCAATCAAGCCCTCAGCCACTTACTTATCATCACCTTCACCTACGCCCTGTCATCAGCTCATGTCACATACCTGCCTCCTCTGCTATATAACACCCAGCCTGCTCTCCAACCAGTGACAGATTATTGAATTATTCCTGATTATTAACCTCACAAATTGATGCATTAGTTCATCATGTTAATTCCTCTTTATGTGTGGCATTAGATGATGTTGCCCCTTTAAAAATGAAGGTAATTAGGGACAGGAAGTTGGCTCCCTGGTTTAATTCTCATTTACGAGCCTTAAAACAAAACTCTAGGAAATTGGAGAGAACATGGCGCTCTGCGCACCATGAGGAGGCCTACCTATCCTGGAAAAATAGTCTTGTGCTTTATAAAAATAAGCTTAGACAAACTAGAACTGCTTATTTCTCAGCACTAATTGAGGAGAATAAGCATAATCCTAAATTTCTTTTCAGTACAGTTGCTAAGCTTACACAGAATCATACCTCTGAGCCATATATTCCCCTAACCCTCAGCAGCAATGACTTCATGGGATTTTTTACAAGTAAAATTTATTCTATTAGAAACAAAATCTTTAGCATCCTCCCTAATGCGATTTCTTCTTCCTCAGTAAGTGAGGCAGCATCAGAGGTGACTGTAGAACCTCATCTTTGCTTGAACCATTTTGATCCAGTTGAGCTTTCAGATTTATCAAAATTATTATCTAAACCTTCAACTTGCATTTTGGATCCAATCCCAACCAAATTATTTAAAGATGCATTTCCGTTGGTTACTGCCCCCATTCTAGATATAATCAATCTATCCTTAGTAAATGGATATGTACCACAGGATTTTAAGGTTACTGTAATCAAACCTTCACTTAAGAAGCCTTCTCTGGATCCAGATGACCCAATGAATTATGGACCAATATCTAACCTTCCATTTTTATCCAAAGTCCTGGAGAAAATAGTGGCCATCTAAGTATGTGAGCATTTAAACACTAATGCTCTGTTTGAGGAATTTCAGTCTGGTTTTAGAGAGTATCACAGCACTGAAACTGCATTAGTGAGAGTTACAAATGATATTCTCATGGCCTCAGATAAGAATCTTGTGTCTGTTCTAGTCTTGTTAGATCTCAGTGCTGCTTTTGACACAGTTGATCACAAGGTTCTTTTAGAAGACTTGAACATGTTGTAGGGATCAAAGGTACAGCGCTAGTCTGGTTTAAATCCTACCTGTCTGATAGATTTCATTTTGCAAATGTACATAGCAAATCTTCTTCATACTCAAGGGTTACTTGTGGAGTACCACAGGGTTCAGTGCTTGGACCAATTCTTTTTACTATGTATATGCTCCCAATTGGTAAAATCATTAGACAGCATGGGATAAACATCCACTGTTATGCTGACGATACTCAGTTATATTTATCCATTAACCCTGATTAAACTAATCACTTGGGTAGGTTACAGGCTTGTCTTGAGGACATAAAAAATTGGATGACTAAACTTTTTGCTTTTAAATCAAGACAAGACGGAAGTTCTCATCTTTGGACCAGAAATCCAGAAAAGGAAATTGCTTAGCCAATCATCTGACCTGAATGGCATTACATTAATCTCCGAGAACAAAGTAAGGAACCTTGGTGTTATCTTTGACCAGGACATGTCATTCAAATCCCAGGTTAAACAGGTTTGTAGGATTTCCTTTTTCCACCTTCAGAATATTGCTAAGATTAGAAGCATCCTTTCCAGGAGTGATACTGAAAAACTAGTTAATGCATTAATTACATCAAGACTGGATTACTGTAATTCATTACTCTCAGGAAGTCCACAGAATGTAGTTAAAAGTCTTCAGCTTGTCCAAAATGCTGCAGCTAGAGTTCTGATGACAATTACAAAGAGAGATCATATCTCTCCTGTCTTAGCTTCCCTACATTGGCTACCTGTTAAATTCAGAATAGATTTTAAGATCCTTCTTCTCACATATAAAGCTCTTAATAATCAAGCTCCATCATACATCAATGATCTGATTGTTCCATACGTTCCTAACTGAGCACTTCACTCTCAGACTGCAGGTCTACTGGTGGTTCCCATAATATCTAAAATTAGGATTGGAGGCAGATCTTTTAGTTATCAGGCTCCTCTCCTGTGGAACCAGCTCCCAGCCTTAGTCCGTGAGGCAGACACTTTGTCTACTTTTAAGCCCTGGCTTAAAACATTTTTATTTGATAGGGCCTATGGTTAAAATCTGATGTTAGCCTAAATCTGGACAAGTGGGGGAGTAGAGGGAGGTGGAGTGTAGTCGGTAAAGACGGCTCTCCCTTGCCCTGACTCCAACATGCCTCCATCTAAATAGGATAAATTATCCTGAGTTATCTCTGTAGTTATGCTGCTATAGGCTTAGACTGCTGGACACATTGACCACTTTTCACACTACTGCTTTCTTCTACAATCTGCTCTTTAACTGTATTATTTTCTGCAATTTCAGCTGTTAACTTTATTTTCTCTCTGTTTTTCTCCCCAGAAGAAGCTACAGTGATGTTCTGCTGAGCTGTGGTGGCCTCATGGAGGGGGCCATCGTCTAGCTCACTGCAGCTAACCACTAAAACATTCTCCCTCACCTGATAATAACTTTTTGCTTTCCTTGACGTTGGATGTGCTACTACTAGTTTATCCGTTTAATTATAGATCCACTAGGATAAATACAATAAAGTTTATCTCTCATCAAATAGAATATTTAATAAGACATCACAATATAACTATAGACACATTACTTTGTCTTTGTGCGTGCGTGTGTGTGAGTGTGTGTGTGCCTGCTCTGTCTTCTCGATCCCCAGTGAGTCGTGGAGGATGGCTGTTTATACTGAGCCAGGATTCTCTGGAGGTTTCTTCCTGTTAAAAGGGAGTTTTCCTCTCCACAGTCACTTTATGCTTGCTTAGTATGAGGATTGCTGTAAAGTCTTGATGCAATTTGCTGGGTTCCTTATATAGGAAACATTATTTCTGATTGGCTTAATGAACTGACCTGAACTGGAATGTTTATTATGTGAAGTGCCTTGAGACGACTCTTGTCGTGATTTGGCGCTATAAAAATAAAATTGAATTGGTGTGTTTCCTCTACAAGAACTTCAGGGTAGATTTACAGGAACCTCCCGACATACGCATGTTTCCACCTGACCAGGCTGTCAGAACGACCGTTTCCAGGAACCTTCTGAGTACCTGCTCACTCCAAACGCCCGGGGAAGTAGCTGAGCAGAACCTCTGGTTAACTCACGCTGATTGGTCGTAACTCGGTAGGAAATCACATCAGCTGACATCCAAAACAACCGGCAGCAGTACAATTAGAAGAGTAGCTGGTGAAGCAGACTGGAAGCAAAAAAAAAAATAAAATAAACAAAAAATAAAAAGGCAGCGATTGCATTTAAAATGTAACTCCAGACACCGGAAAACTCGGTGGAATTTCCCCACAGCTGATGGATAAAATGGGGAAATTCCTCCGCAGACTAACGGGGCTTGTCTCTCAAAACTCAGAGCTGCTCTTGTCCTCTGAATGGACTAAATTATGATACTTTTCTATAAAATAAATGCTTTTAATATTATTACTCACTGCAGTCGTGATATGCGGACGTCTGTGCAAGTTGTTAAAAAGCTGAATTTGAATGGAGACAACAGTTGAGAGGACTGGGACGTCCCATCTCCTGGTCAAGTTCCCCATCCCAGGAACTACCCTGGAGTTCTGGTAATGGTAACATGCCTAATGAGCCTAAATCAGCTCAACGACCCCTCAGTCCTTGACATCTATTTAATGAGCAACTGCTGCCCCCTTGTGGGGACAAATATAATACAGGGCACCAAATTGGCCGAGTGAGTCACAATGACCATGTGGGATCATGTGAGGATGCAGCAGCTGAATCTGTGTCCAGTAGGACATCAACCACCAACATGCAAACACACACGAGTCATTTTTTTCTCTTTTATTTGCAATAAAAAAATTAGGTCAAGAGCTCCCTTTACAAACACACCAGGAGGAAGCAGCGTATTGTGGGAACCGCATGTGGCTGCAGATATGTGAAGGGACATATTTATATAGAGAATGCAATCACACACTTAACAGGACAGTTAAAGGTGTAAATGCTTATTAAGAATTTAACCTAAATGAAACAATCTCACAAAGGATGCATTATGTTATGGTTACTGCGGTTTAGTAGAACTTGATGCATTTTTCTTTTGAAGTCCAGGAGCCTTATTTAAGCCATCCTGTTACCACTGTGTCTTTTACAATAAAGGCCTTTAACCAAAGTTTACATTCTGCTTCCAACTTCAACAAATCAACTCCTCGTCTGAAAGCCTGCTGTCCTGAATACTTTACAACCTGCATAACTAACATGAGATTAAAACCCCTCTTCTGTCATGGCATAGTGAATTAATAACCTATTAGTGGAAGAGCTCCAATCTGCAGCTGGATTGTTGGAACATAAACAAAACAGGGGCTAAGTCCATCACGTTCAGTTCAAACATCCAAATGTGGCTTCAGTTTGGTAAAAAGGTCCCTCCAGGATTTTCAAAAGAAAAAAAGTCACCATAAATGATGAGCGTTCCAAAACTTACAGCACACTTGCAAAAAAAAGAAAATGACGATGCTGCTACATGTCATACGAGCTCCCCAGCAGCTCTGCTTGTGGGTTAGTGTAGATATTTTTAATCCTTTTCTCGTCAGAGGTTCAAGGGAAAACGGTGGTTGCTGTGCAGTTTGGAGATTGCTTGCCTGTGCCAGCACCGTTGCTCTGAAAGGCTACATGCCACAGCTAAGTGTTGCTGACAGGTGGAAACATGGCTAGATACCAGTAGAACTTAGAGACTGAAGGAGCCAAACTTCTGAACTGCACTGATGCCCGAGCAGCTCCCTGGCCCATCACCGAGGCCTCTTACGAGTGACAAATATCAGGACCCTTCGAATGGCAACTAGGCGGTCCTTGAAGGAGGTCATGGACAGGATGGTGAGCTGGGCTCGGTTCTCCAATGGAAGGACAGCAAGCAGCCACCAGCACCAGGCTGGGCCATCGGGACTAGCCTGCAGAAGAACAAGACAGATTCTTTGAATAAAAACTGCTCCTTCGTGACATTTAAGAGACCTAGGTATGAGATCATTTATGAGTTTTCAGCATCAGAACTTGTAAAAATGTCTCGTATAATAGTTTATAAAGCTGTAACTACTGGGATTAAAGGGGAACTAGGCACTTTTTGCTTGCTTTTAGCACCCCCTAGTGTCTGTTGGTAGAACCAAAACCAAAACCTATCTCCTCGCTGTGCGTTTGTCTTTAACACCGTAACTGAACAGCTGAAACATCTCCCAGCCTTCTCTAGCGTCCACAGGAGTGATTCATCACTAAATTAGACAAATCCGCTGTGTTTGTGATATTTACTTATTTAAACAATTTTATACGGAGGAATAACCACTTGAGATGAAACATCTCGTTTTCGAGTGGGTCCTCCTTTACAATAAAAAGAAGAACAAAAATTAAGAGCAAGACAGCAGAGCAAAAATCAAAACATTACAACAATCATTTACAGACACACACACACACACACCCACAGGCTCACAATACTTCACCCCACACTACCCCAACCAACAAGGACAAAACAAAAGCAACAGCCAGTTGAACAAATACAATTAGTAACATAGACAATTATTCCTGAAGATGAGCCCTTCGAAAGGTAGTGAAAGATGATAAACAACGAGTAGATAAAGGAATATTATTCCAATCACACGGAGCCTTAAAACCAAAAGCAAGTTTCCCTACCTCTCTTCACTCTAGGAACAACAAAAAAGAGCCGATCATTATGCCACAGGCTGTAAAGTGAATTATAGGGAATTAAATGTATTTTAAGATAATCCGGATAATTAAAGTAAAAAGTTTTAAAAATGAACTGAAACTAGTGAAACTCTCTCCTGACAGCAGGTGCAAACCAGGACAGCTGTCGACACATCCACACCTCTATGCGTCCTAAATGGACAACGAAGAACTAAACAACAGACTATTATAAGCATGCTGGAACCAGACTGCAGTGCCAGGTGTGTCAGGTCAATCTTTAATAAGCCCAACAGTGCAACCACCAGGTTGATGTTGTAAGAGGAATATTCTGGCCACAGGGGGCGATAGGGGCTGGGTGAACCTGTAAAGCGGGGGGTCTCCAACATGTCGCTACGAGCCATCCTGACTTGTAATTAACGAGGGGCGGATTTTTTATTTGTTGGCAAGCCGTCCTCGTTTTCTGTAATCTCTAATCTAAAATTCATTTTGTAGAAGTAAAATAAAATATTGCACAAATGTTTTGGCAAACATGCTCTACTGGGAATATGCAGATTCACTGACTGAGTTGCAGCACGGAGCTCCGTTTCTGTCAGCTTTGATCAGCAGCTGCAGCTGCTGGTGGATGAAGACGTGCTTCTAAGAGGACGGGATGACATCGCTCATTCAGACCCGCTTCAGAAAAACATCCTCAGTAAAATCATCTGGGCGACAGTAAAGCCATATCTGCGGTAACAACTTAACGCAAATTAAACGCTGTTATTTCCTAAAACATGAAAACACAGGTTTCCAAACTTTCTAGACATCTCCTGTGATTCTGTTACAACAAAATTCCCTCAACAGTTAAATCAGATATAAAACAAGATTGTGAACGTATTAACGCACAGCCGTCAGACGCGATGAGAATAAAGCAACAACACATCAAACTAAATCTCCAGCCTTAAAACTGTCAGCAACAGATGCAGCAAAGCACAATTTACCTGCAGTTGTTCAACAGTGAAGCAAAACTTTACTTTCATGACCAGAAAACCCATGAAATAAACGAGGAAAGCAGAAAGAAATGTTATTTCTGTTTTTACATTTCTCACTTCAAACTATTTAGAATTGGATGTTTTCATCACGTTTAGCATTTTATTAAAATACCGTCAAATTTATGCATTTTATGAGAACATTTGTTTTGCACTGTTTGGAAAAATAATAACTACTTCAAAGGTTTTGTATTAAATGCCATTTAGAGAACATTTTCTTCAAGGCAATCGCAGAGTACAGCCGCTTCTTTTTTGCTCCCTTATCTTTTTTCCCCAAGGCTCTTTGTCCTGTCTGCCCACAGAGCGCTTCTCTGCATTTCTTCTGAAAAACCCTATTTTTACTAACCATGGATTTGATAAATTGGTCATTCAACGCGATTGATAAGATTTTTTCAACAATGAGAACAGAGCAGGGGGCTCCCACATGTCCACAGGGGACACACCCGGTGGGGTATATTTTGGATTCCTGGAAGGAGTGGAAGATCATATGCCTCTCCCAGCTGTCCATTGAGGATATCGAAGACGTGTGGATATTCGGCCTGATGATCACTGGATTTCTCCTGATTGGAGTGGGAGGATATCTGGTTTTCTGGAAATTTGGGAAGACGGGAGCAATTGGAGGGCGACCCGCACCCACGGAAAGCACTGTCCGTGTGGAAACTTCTCAGACTGGGACGTTACTCGAGGTAAATCGTAAGCTGGACAATGTTCTAGCTGCGATACCGGTATTAGTGCGCAAAATGGATGTCATCTCGGAGACAGTCACCGGACGGTATGGACAAGTTTAAAAACCCAAAATTGGCTTCACTGAAGGACTGGAGAGGAAAATGATCTCAGCCTGACCCAAACAAATTCTTGTTATCTGAATCTGACGCCCTGGTAGCCTTGAGCGGCAAGCAACTAACCCCCACGAAGGAATGCAGACAGATGCTGTGAAAAGCCGACCCCCCCCCCCCCAATCGCAAGCATAAAAATTCAAAACTCCGTAAAGTCCCATTGATAAACTAAATGTTTAGTTGGATTTTTAAGAACGTCACTGTTTTCCTTGTACTTTTTTTTTTTTTTACAATGTACTGAAATACAGAGAAATCAACTTGTGACTGTAACACATGTTGATATAGTAAGCATAGCATTTTTAACACACATGGGAAGTATGAATGTGAATAAATCGTACGGCAGTAGCTCTTCTGTACTTTAAAAGTAGCTCACAGGCCCAAAAAGGTTGGAGACCCCTGCTGCAAAGGGTCATTTTAGCACGTACTGGTTCAAGAAAATGATTTAAAAATATGAAAGTCGCTAAGCTTCCCTTAAAAACAGACTAAAGCATTTAAATAAATAAACAAACAAATGAATGTGCAGGTGTGTTAAGACCTGGGGGTCCAGGTCTTTGCTGGGAAGATGTCCAAAGTGGCTGAGAATCTGACTCTTCATGTTGTCCTTTAGGGAGGTGAACCAGCTGTTGGCCTGCTCGTACACGGAGTCATGCAGCTTGGTAAGTTCTAGCAGCTCCTCTCCTTCAACCTGAAAGAACAAAAATGTACTTTTAGTAAAAATAATTAAAGGAAATTTAATGATTCAAACACGATCCTGACTATTTCAGCACAACAAAGTTTTGATTTCCCTCTCTCGGCTCACCTTCTTGTCTTCAAGGTACTCGATCTTAGCTGTGTGGTAGCCGTCTCTCTGTCCGTGGTTAAGGACTTTGAACCGTGATACACCGATGGTGTCGACCACCGAACGCCCATCAGGAAAGAACTTTACATCCCGCACCTGCAACGTTAGAAACATTATAAGCTGACTGAACCTACATGAAGCAAAGGGAGGAGTATTTATGTGTAAATTAGAAGATCTCACCTGCAGCATGCAGCCAAAGTCAGCAAAGCCTTTGAGCTCATCTGCGATGCACATGCCAAACTGTTTCGTCCCGGTTTCCATTGCGCGCCGAATCATGAGGCGGTAGCGGGGCTCAAACACATGCAGCGGACAGGGGATGGTGGGGAAGGCCATGGTGCACACGAAGATGGGCATTTCCTGGTTCAAACTACAAGGCACACACAATGACACACAGGTCAATAACGCAACTTTTAAAAACTTTTGAGTTTTAGCTGAACGTCAGTAAAAAAAAAATAAAAAAACGAGCGTGATGTAAGTCAGAGCTAATTAAACCATTTTGATAACTCAAGTCAGACCGAGTGCAGCAGTTTCAGAACCTCTGATTTGTTCATTTGTTAGCACATGCGGGTCTGCAGCTCATCATTTCCTTTGCTGACACAAAGTTGGTCCAGTCTAACGAGACACCTCTGTCCTCTTTCAAAGAGACCCTTCAGCTGAACAGGTGTTGTGCCAAAATGTGCATGTCCTGTCTCCACAACCAAATACTGGAAGCTAACGATTAGAATTATGAGGCTATTTTTAATAAATTCATGTTTCCAATAGGTGCTTCTCCTGAAATGGTTTTGTTTTGACAAAAAATGAGATGACATAAGGATTAAATAATTGACGTTTTTGAACACGTCTGAGAAGAATGTTTTTGTGAGTATTTTTAATATTGTTTTTTGAGCTTGCTTAAACTATTTTGCAGTTTGCTGTAAAAAAAGCAGCAACGTGACTCAAAATGACTAAACTTTAAAAAACTTATTATCAAATCAATCAAAGATACTTTATTAATCCCAAAGGGAAATAAGAGTTTCTGTACACACAATTCAGAGATCAGACATACATGGGCAAGACACATGACAAGAATTGGTGACTGTGGTCATTCGCAACCCTGAGTCGCGCTACCTTAATAGAGATAAGAGGGTTACATGAGGATTGGTTCAGGTGGAGGGGAAAAAAGGCACTTCAGAGTTACCCTCCACCGGGAGGGCAGCTTTGCTCTGCAAAAAACACCTCAGACAGATATGCAACAGACTTCAGACAACATAAGTGTCCACTAGGTGGAGTGGTGGGTTGGGACTATCCCTACTTCAGTTCCTGCAGCCACGATGAGCAGCGCGAGTCACCTCAGTGTGGATGGGGGGGGGGAGCATTGAGGGTTGGAGGGTTGCAGTGACCCTGGAATGTTTCAGCGGCCTTCCTGCAGTCAAGCCCAGGCTGGGAAAGGATACAGAGTTGAGTTGCCATAGCAACGGCACACTCCACATATCTTCTGAGGGGGGAGTTTTCGTTGGAGCCTTACAGGCTCAAGGGCGCCAGATTCCGATTAGAAATTGTTTTGGGGCCAGACAGAGATAATTTCCTCTCTGTCTTACAGTTTGTTGGTCCTCAACCTCTCAGAATCCCAATAATGGACGTTAATCTATCCCAATCCGTGCTGATTCGTCCACTCTCTCCTTGATGGCATCCATCTTTTGTGCCAAAGAATGAATCTCCGCCAAAGTTCCAAGCTTACGATTCATCTTGATTATTATTTGAGTCTGTGAATTCACAGCGCGGTGCAAACCATCTCTGAGCTCCGGGATCAGGCCAATATTCCTCGACAGCTCGTTATTTTTCCGGTAAGCCAGGTAGCCTCCAAGGCCAATTCTCTTATTACTTCAAATGAAACATGTGATAAAGAGCCATTTATTTTCTTTAGTTGTAACTTTGTGTTGTAAATACCACGACAATAACCCATAATTTCAGAACAAAAAGAAGAATTACTACCTTAAAAGCTACCGTAGCTTTACAAAGAATTCAGAGGATTTAAGTAAAATAAAATTTTATATATATGGTGGAAAACTAACTTTGACAGCTCGGTCATCTCTTCTTCGTGAATTTTCTTCCTCTCAGTCAGCTCGTCTCCAAGGTAACGCTGTAGAACTTCCTCCATCAGAAAGGTCTTACTGTAACCCCTGCTAGCAAGATACTTTAACGAAACAAAACACAAAAACATAAGATCTCCACTTCCTAAAAGCCACAGTTCCACCTGTGACCGATTGATTAAAGAGCTCTGTACCTCTGACAGATTTTCTTTGCACAGAGGGCAGTTGGGGTTGTGGTCCAAGCAGCGCTCCAGGCACTTAAGGCAGAAGGTGTGTCCACAAGGGGTGGCCACAGGCTCATAGAATAATCTGTAAAACAAACAAACAGTGTAAAACACACTGCACATGCTCGCACTAGTTATAGTCGGTTGCGCGCACGTGTGTGTGTGTCTGTGTGTGTGTGTGTTTTCACCTCATGCAGAGAGAGCACTCCAAGTCTCCACTGTCCAGCAGCTCGGCAGGAAACACCCTCGATCCACAAGCGGCGTTTGTCTGTGTGACCTTCCCTTCATCTGTGCAAAAAAACCAAAATCACCACATCAGCTGGTGTTTTCTGAGCAGATTCTCCATTTCCCTTCATGTGTAAATTTTTAAATCTATTATTTTGATTTCCTGACGATTACGCTTTAAGTTTAAAATCTAGACAAAACAAGATGTTAAAAAGGGCCACTCATCAGAGACGTAGAAAAATGTAATAACAGAATCCTAAAACTTAGATGCACAAACAGAAACACGTATTGCTTAGTTTCTCTAAAGTTTATTTCTGCATAAAGACTTTTTATTGTGACAAAAGCAGATGTTCTCACCAGGCCTGGAAAGCTTGGAGGGAGGGCTGAAGGATGATGAAGGCCCATCACTGCTGTGTTTCCTTTTCAGGCCACCAGGGGGGGCTGGCAGAGCAGCCAAAATATTAGCCAGATTCTTGGAGCTTCCTTCTCCTGCAGCAGAGTCTGATCTACCAGGAGACAGAGGACAGAATCTGGAGGACAGGTCGTCCACTGGAGCACTTTTAGACACACTGAACTCTGCATCCTGCAAACACAAACAGGTAAAACGATCAGTGAGTTTTCCGAGGGCAGACAATTCTGAAAGCACCTTTAACCACCACTTGTACCAATATCTCAGATAAAATCACATTTTAGTTTTTTTAACTCCAAAAAGACTCCATCTGTGTGTTAAAGAGCAGTAACCTGCGAGGAGCAGCCTGGTTTCTGTGTCAGTGGTCTCAGGGACTGGAGCAAGGCAGAGGGTTTGATCAGACGGGTGGCCAGCCCCCCCTGAAGAGGGTGCAGCGGCGTGGGCATGTCCTTGTTCTCAAATACGGAGGAAAAGAGCTCACAGAGCACCTGAAAGACAAACGGATGTTTATCGTCTGGGCTTGTACATGTACACCACTAACAGTAGTTTGCTATCAAAAAGCCACCATTTCAAAATTAAATATCTCATTTAAGGGGAGGTCACGCAACATTATGATGCTACACATGCAGATCTCATAGCTTTTCCTTTAAAACCAACAGCTTTCTTACCTTCTGAGCCTCCAGCTTCACTTTGGTCATGTTGGGCTTTAGCGCTACACACAGGAAGTACTCCTGCAAGGCCTCGTCGTTACAACCAGCTTTACTCAGTGCAGTGGCTTTCAGACAGTGGGCCTAAAAATGGACAAAACATATTTAATAATCCAAACCCCCCACCAGCCTCTAACTAGCCTTGCTACAATCAGATCAAGATCGCCCAGATCAGCGTTTCTGACTTTGATCCAAAGCGTCCGACATGATTAGCCTGCCAACGTCAACCATTTATTCTGTGTTCATAACGTCTGAAGCTTATGTAAACAACAGCTAATTTCATGGTAAAGGTTTGTGTTGTTCTCTAAACGTCTGGCCACAGCGGGACAAACACCTTCCTCTGTATGAGCGGGTGAGACTTGCCTTTGTCCAGAGAGGTTTTAGTTTACAGAGACTGCTGGCATCCTGCACTGCTTGGCTGAAGTTCCTCATCTCCATGTGCAGTTCAGCCCGCTGACACAACAGGCTGCCTGAGGAGGGCGCTGTAGGAACAGGAGAAAACCAAATCAGCTCAGGATGTTACAGGTCTAGCAGAAGTAGGGCAACAATGCAACATGATACCAGGCAGGCGTGTCAGAACACTTTGTTCCCGATCTTATAATTACTGCCGTGTCCTTAGCTGCTGTGTCTCATCTTGATTATTATACCGAACATGTTACACTTTAGGTACACCTGTTGCTTTAGACCAGGGGTGCCCAATCCTGGTTCTGGAGGGCCGGTATCCAGCAGGTTTTGTGGTTTTTTTCTGTTCCAACACACTTGATTAACTGGTTGAATCACCTGTGCAGCATCTCATCAGGCTCTGCAGAAGCTTGTTAATCACCTGCTGATTGAAATCAGGTGTGTTGAAGGAGTTTTAAAACTAAAGCAAGCTGGATACCGGCCCTCCAGAACCAGGATTGGGCACCCCTGCTTCAGACAAAGCTGCAGGTATTTCTGAAACCTGAACAGACTGTGGACTGTTTGTTTAGCAGGTGTGTTGACTCCGCTGAGATTAATGGTGACGTGCAAAAACACAAGATTAACACCTGCCAAGTGCAGCGTTCCAGCAGACACAGCTCTGAACTTTTAGGGTTTTTACAATCTTTTATTGGGGCTAACAGCTTCATACCAAGTAAATTTACTCTTGATGTGAAATCAGATGTCACTTAGCCTAAAAGCCGATTAAACGTTTCCATTTCTGAAACGATTCTCAGGCTGCATCAGACACCAGAAGGCCCCATGCGGTCTTTGTTGGGTAACAGTGGCTCTGCTGTGGCTGCACCCCATAACCCTGTCACCTGGAGTTCATCACAACACAGAAGGCATGAATCAATATTGATGCAATGCACTATCCAATGACTCCAATGAGATTCATGTTACATAATCTTCAACCAATTCAGTTTTTATTCACTGCACCCCATAAATATTCTAGAAATGGCGAAGGTTTTTTTTTTCATGAATATTGTGGAGAACACACATGTCACACCCACAGAAAATACTGCCCCATCATGTGCTGAGTGTTGTTTATGAACAGCACAGCACATCACCCAGCACCCAGGGTATCTGCAGGTTTAAGGGAGCCCAATTTAAGACTTTTTAAGACCTTTTTGAAGGCCACTTACACCAAATTTAATCTATTTTTAAATTTAAATTTAAGCTTTAATTTACAGCTATTGCCTGGAAACGGTGCTAACCACGTCGCGAACATGGGATTAACCACCCAGTTACCATTAAACTTGCACTTCCCCATGGCGCAAGCTCCCACTAGCTTAACCAGCTAATGTGCTCATCTAAAAATAGCCCCCTTTCACAACCAACTGAATGTGTACGGTTCTGCTTACGCCAACATCGTACACAAAAAATGCTGAACACTAACTAGAAATTCACGAAAACTTTATAAAAAATAAAATAATCTTGTTTATTGGGTCTTTGAAAATTTAAGACCTTTGGAAACTGTATTTAAGTATTATTTGTCATTTTTAAGGATTTTTAAGGCCTTAAATTTGGAAAAGCTAATTTAAGACTTAAGGGCCCATGGATACCCTGAGCACCAAACACATTTAAATTGTTCTCTTTTGTTTTTCATAGACAAAACTCTCAAAAAGACAGATATAATTTAAAGATCAACTTGCAGGTTAAATCTTTTTTTCTAATTCATATAAGATGCTGTCCAAAAAATGTTATTTGAAATGCTTATTGTGGATATTTTGTTTTTAAATACACAGCGGCACAGTTTTTGGAGTAAAAGGTGGCTTTTGTCAGCAAAGCTTCTAAAAAGGCTCTTTTTTCTAAATCTGAACCTCTGATGTAACCAAAGGTAGTTAGAAACTAGGCTGCCTCAGCTCAGCGGGGAGAGTGGGTAGTTTTAGGGTAGAGAGGTCTTGTTATCCAGTCAGTGTGTGTTTACTAGTTTTGGATTGTCATTTACACAAAAATTTAACTTCAGTTGTCAAAAAGAATTCCATAAAGTTTGTAGAGCTGTCCCAGCAGCGCTATGGCTCCTAATACATAGTAATGTTATTTTCAAAGGTTTCACCAACACTACCTAATCTTAAAATAGGTGGATTTAGGCTACTGGACAGTAAATTAGGAAATAAAATCATTAATGCAAATATTAAAGCTATTCTATATAGAGGTTTTACTGCTGGAAGGTTTTTACAAGCCCTTAATAGGGACCAATCCCTTATGGAAAAAGCCTTTTCTAAATTTGTAAAGTGGCCAGTTGCACCCAAAGTCAGAGAAACACATTTTAAAGTAATCAACAATGTTTACCCAGTTGCTGATTTTCTAGAGAAAAGGTTCAAATTTGAAAGTATGCAGTGTGCCTTTTGTGACTCAGCCTGCGAGACATTACATCATCTCGTTTTTTGGTGTCCAATAACTAATTTCTGGTTGCAAATATATAATTGGATTTCACTAAAAATTAATAATATTCCAAGATTTGAAGTTGATCATATTATTTTCTACATGGATAATCTGCCCCACCTTTATATTGGACATGATCAACTTAGTGATTCTTCTTGGGAAATACCATATTCACTGTAGCATGTGGAAAAACCTATTACCCTCCTTTGCCAGATTTATAAATGACTTTAAACAATATTTTTCCTCACTTAAGCGTCTAAAATCAGGCCGATTTGCTACAATTTATGACAAAATCTCATCTCTCCTGGTCTTAGACTGTTAGGCTCTTATCTTCTGTGCTCCAGGACTGTATTCCTATTTGCAGGAGTATTATTTGGATGTGGTGTTTGAATTAACCCCTGTCTTTATTTTTGTTATGTTCCTTTTGTTTTCACGTATCTATTTTATGTTGTACATAGATGCTGTCATGTTATTCATTAAGTTGTTGGTTTTGCCCGTTGTATTGACGTGACTGTAATCCTCAACGAGAATATGTATCTTGTTCAATTGTAAATAAAGAATTAAAATAAATAAATAAATAAATAAAAATAAACTAGTTTTGGATTGTGTTCATTTTGACAAACTAATTGTTCGTGAAGCTGAAAAGACAGACTTCTGTAGCCCACACCAGTCGGTACCATGACAGGGAGTTCCACACTGGCCTCCAGAGACCCGTGGCGGGGTTTAAATAATTAAATGCGAATTTCTGGAACTCTGTAGCCTGGCCTGCCAGACTTGTCCTCTGTTTAATTCTGCACAGAGAAAGTCTGGTAACTCACAGGCAGAGGCACATGAGGGGCGGGATTAGGCAGCTCAAAAATGACCATTCGGAAAAAAGACGGAAATGCCGACTGTACCGCACAACACTGTAGTTTTTTTTAGCTGTAACAAAAAAAAAAGGCATCTGTGTTAGCAGTGTGTCGTTGTACGCAGCGGTCGATCCAAATATCCCAAGCAGAATCCCAGGTTAGCTTCTTGTTTCAATGGGCTTTCACTGGCGCTAGCACCCTTGCAGACACCAATGCTCCCCTTTTATTGGTGCATCTGTGAGGTTAGAGGTCAACATACATGTCCTTCATTAGTTACCTTAATATTATGTCATCCTCACTTCCTCTTTTGTCTGTTTCACAATAAAAGCATATTTACACACATTCTTATTTACAGATATATACATACACACATGTTTATGTTTATGTGCTTAGCAGACGCTTTTATCCAAAGCGACTTACAATTTTTTTTTTAACCTATAGGGCATGTTGTGATCTGTGGGGGAAACCGGAGTACCCGGAGGAAACCCACACATGCATGGGGAGAACACGCAACTCCACGCAGAAAGGCGAGTTTTTTTTTAACCTGCGACCTTCGTGCTGCGAGGCAACAGTGCTAACCACTGCGCCACACATGCAACATACAACAGGGCATATTGTACTGATGCTTAACAATCTGGCAGCGAAGCTAACATCTTTTTTATTTTCATAAGAAATGCTTTTAGCGCTTCTACTTGTGGTTTTAAAGACATTCAAGTCATTTAGAACAGAGGAAAGAGCTGCAGCACACTCCGCTGCTGTCTTCATTTTTAATGAGAAACTGAGCGTTGCTGTGTGTGACGTCCGCGACGCTATAGTTTTAAATTAGCTAGAGTCAAAAATGGCATCTGGTGACAGCGCAAGCATCTATCTTTAGAAGAAAGGCTTTTAGCGCTTCTACTTGTTGTTTTAAAGACGTGTCCAAGTCATTTAGAACAGAGGAAAGATCCGCAGTGAACTCTGCTTCAATCACCATGTTTATGACAAACTGCGTTGTGGTGTGTGACGTACCAGCGCTGATTGGCTCGGTTAGAATTCTCAGGGGGTGGGGTTACTTTAATAGGAGAGTTCCCAGACCCTTTCTCCGTGCAGAATTAAACAGAGGAGGAGTCTGGCAGGCCAGGCTAGGAACTCGGATCACCGTCAGAACCATTTAAGAACCAACCACGAGAAGAGATGCGCGACTCAGCGGGCCAGTCAAGCTGGTTTCTGGGTCGGATCCAGCTCACAGAACCCCGTATGAGCTCCAGAACCTGATGACTGGTGTCTCTCTCTCTAAGCACTAAACTATGTTAAGTGAATGGATATTAAGAAGTATGAGACAGCTGACAGACACTCATTAGTATTAATATTATATTAACTGACCGATACTATTTTAATTGTCTGGTACATGATAGTAATCTGTACAATATTGTGATGTTAGCACCCGAGTTTAAGCTAGCATCGTTAACTCACAAGCTGCTCCCCTTCTGCTTTGGCCGATGGTTTCTCCCTCTGGTTTGTCTCTGCTCTCTGGGGTGTGCAGCAAACATAACTTCTTGGTTTTTGTCCATCATAAGTAGAATTATATACATTTAAAGTTTCCTCTGTGTCAGAGCCGCATTAGAATCCATATTTTTCTCTAGATTAAGCTAACGGGACTCCCTCAGCTGACGTCACTTGGTTTGGGGAAAAAAACCACTTTCTCACAAAAATAAAAGCCTAAATAATTTATGTATGTGTAAAAAAATGTTTAAAATGAGTTTGTATTATATTTCTCTAAACATTGGTTCATGGGAGTCTCTAACCAG